GTGTCTCGGATTTTGCTCCACAGTGTAAGATGGTACTGGACACATCTTAAACCCACAGTGTCAAAACATTTACATTACCACTTAACCACAATCTGAGGAGCAGAAGCATATCACGTTGCATACGTGCTGCTCCCTTAAATTTTAAATATTTAAAAGGACCACTTTAAACTATTTCCCATTATGACAGAGTGCTGACTGCTTAAAGCAGAACTGCAATTCAAGTAGACTTTCTCTAAATCACAGTGCAAGACCTGACTGTGACAATCTGATGAATATCTATTTAACACAGATAACCAGTTAATACAGCTACACGTTTCATACATTAAACATCTATTTTAATTACTGGGCCTTATCTGTGTTGTTTCTCAAAAAACCACTACACGTAATTTGCAGGGGGGGTTTACACTTGTGAAACAAAGATGTGCCGCCGAGAGTAGGAGAATAAGAAATTATTCACTAGGAAAAATACCTTTGTCTTCACACACCTTTCACAACTTAAACAAAGTTCCACATGAATGGAGTATGCACTTAATCATACACCACCTGAGAAAAGCGTTTCTAGAAAATCTGTGACACGAATATATAAATAAAAACACCAATAACACTTGTTTGGACTATTTTTAACGTTCTGTGGGTATAACAGATACTTTAGCATTATTTCAAATGCAACAGAACTGCTGTCTTAAATTTAAGAAATAATAATAACTAAACATTATTAGCCGAATGGTGTTTTATAAGGCGTTTTGTGTAATCCAAACTAGACAGAACACCCATCTAAAATATTTAACTTCGGGTAAAACAGGCCGGCATAAAAACACAGCCTCAATCGTCCAGCTAACCGATGCTTGTTTAAATCAGAAATTGTCATTGAATTGAAATGAGTACTACAAACCTTTATAGAATGGAAGAAGCCGCACAAACGGAAATTAAAGTACAACTGGAAGGATAAGAACACTAACCTAACGTCACCATAAAGTACTACTTAGGGCGCACGTACTGTTCAACAAAAGCACGTTTAACAAAATCCGATCGAGCTAGTTTTGCTTTTGTAGTATATTACTGGTTTCTGAAATACCTAATGCGAAGACGGACGGGCGACACCCTCCTTTATTTTAACACCCGGATCTTTTCCTTTGACTGTCAAACCGAACATTTTTATTTTAGCTCCTGAATTAATTATGTATGTTTTTTTTTAATTGAGGCATGCATAAATCAAGTAATAAAACCAAAAACACATACCGCCGCCTGTTTAGAATGGCAGAACTCCATTTTTGTTACTTCTTTTCGCTTGTAGGTGTTTTTTGCATTCCAGTTACGAAGTACAGTATAAAGTCTATTCCGTTTCGCCTCTCTGCCTTTATAGCATACCTGGCTGATGTGACATCATGGGGTTGCCAGGAAGGTAAGCTAAACAATTCAGTCTCCTTCCTGGTTTGAAATACTGTAAGCACAGCCTGTCCAAAGTCACAAGGAAGTAAGCTAGATAATTATTAAGGCCGCTTTGTGAACAGCAAAGGTAGAAGCCTTCTCTTTTTTTTCTTTTGTGAAAGAGTGGGTAGGTATTGTGAAACTTCAAGCTCTACAGTACAGCATGTAGACAAGGGCCTTGTCTGTAGCTTTTTGGTCTCCTCCTGTTTGAAACAAGATATGTTTCAGTCATATTGCTGACACGACCACCCTTGCAATAGAAAGAGGGAAAAATCAGTTTTAAGCAAATTTCTACAAATCTGTCAGAAATTAAAACTGCCGACGATTTACAGGTACACGTTTTCTTTTTCGAGTTGAGCGCACAAAAACGCCAAATACACTAACACTTTAGCACGTCACAGTTTTCATATTAAAATGAAATGAGCATTATTATTATTGCTAATTTTATAATAAATGAATGAATGTAGTGTTAAATAAATATTTCACTCAGGTGTCTACCAAAAAAGAAACCGACAATGCGCTCTAGGCTGAGTAAAGACCAAGTTCTTAATAAAATAGTATTAGCACTGAGACCGATGTATTATAGGAATCTGAAGAAATTAAGGTTAACGAATCTCTAGGGCCTGATGATATTCTACCAATTTAATTTAAGAAAATGAAGAGATGTTAATCATGGACTATTAATTAAACTCTTCCAGTTGTCTTTTTTAGGACAGGGGTAATAGCCATGAACTAGATAATTGGAATTTCCTGAAATTTAATCTATTCTTAAAAAGGATGAAAGAAGACCAATAGGTCTTCTGACTTCTATTACATGTAAGGTTATAGAAACAAGAATTAGAATTAAACTAGGGCATCATCAGTATGGTAACAGGGTTTTAGAGGTAGACAGTATAGATTTAGAAAAGGTACTGTAGGTCCTGTTAGACTTTAAACAAGTCACAGCAGTGATGGATACAAATAGCATATGATATTGTTACATGTCACAGGTGATTGGTCACAAGTTCAGTACAGGTTAGTTTTAGTCTGGACTAGACAAAGGTAGTGGTGGCACAGTGGCACAGGGATTATCATGGCTCTCGCAGTGCTGGGGCTGTGGGTGCAATTCCGGACCTGGACTTTCCCGTGTTTGCGTAGGTTAACTGGCTTTTGGGAAATTTGTTCCTGGTGTGAGTGAGCCTGCGATGGATTGGTGTCCTATCCAAGATGGACCCTGCCGTTCCCAATGTTTGCCAAGGAAGGCTAAGGCTCCCTTGCGACCTTGAATTGGATGAAGTTGTTAGAAAATGGATGGATAGGCAAAGGAGCTGAAGGAGGCACACCTGAAGAAGGCTCCACGGCCGAAACGTTGTGTTTTCTCTCTTCTTTCTTTCAGCATGGAATAAACCTATTACTTGTTCCTTTGCAGCGTATGCATGCTGACGCAGCTACCCACCTGAACTATCTATCTATCGCACCCTTTCACCTGTTTGTTAAAGGGCATGATTATAACAGGGAGACTGGCCAACTACAGTAGTCTTAGGGGAACACTTCCAGGGCCTGAACTAGCAGTTCTGTTAAAACTGTTAAAAGCTGTTAAAACAGAGGTGGATTCTGTCAAAGGTACTCAAGATTTCATTCAGATGTTCTGCTGCTGGAGGCGACAGTGTGTTTGCCAAGAATGAGATTTCATTTAAAGATTAAGTTTTATTTTCCGGCAGAAAAATCATTCCACACTGAATTGTAATGATACATTGTGTGTGTATGTATGTACAGTATTTATTGTTTTAGGCAAAAAGTGCCTACTGTGACTGCACCTTTATGAGGTGGTGGCTATGGATTTGAGCTTCTTGAGCCCAAATCTGGGGCATCAATCAGATAGCACTAGAAAAATAGCCAACTTAATAAAAGGGGAAAAATGTCTGTGATAACATCATCAACAACAATAATAATAGAGAATAAAATCTCTATTATTATTGGTGGTAATATTATTACTGGTGGTAAACAAGTGGATGAGTCATTCAAGCTCATTTAGTATTGGTTTATTTGCAAGACCTTTTATGTGTTTTAATCAAATTTTCTGAGGCTGACAAGGTCCTGAATTAGTGGAAAAACGTAAACTTTTCTCCATTTTATTAAGCATAACGTTTTACTGCCGTTGGTGGTGGTGCCCAATTGGCATATTGCCGCATGGGTACAGTGGGCATTAAGGGGCCAGAGGCTCTTGTGACTCAGCAGGCACTGCAGGCCTGCAGCGACATCAGTGAGAATGGAGCTGCTCCTCCTTGTGGCAATACTTCTCCTTTAAAGCACCGCAGAGTTTTCAGCATGGCAAATGCTGAAGGCACATGTCTGCAGGTCCTTCTCCATCATTCCCCTCTCCTCATTATGTATAGATACGGGAGTTACCACTGGGAATCTGAGCCTTAAAAACTGAGTGGGTGTATCACAATGCATATTTGATGGTTCCAAATAATTATATTTATGTAACTAAATCATTCATACAGTGCTGGTATTTTTAAGTTTAGATGTTAAGATGAATAAGACCGACATGTACATCTAACTGAAGACTCTTTTAGTTTTTTCAAGCGTTGAATTTCAACATTGCCCACAACATGAATAGATTCCTATAACTCCCATGGTCATTTGATTGATTTCTTTATGGATGCATGATGTCACTACAACACTGTGACATTTTCTCCATGTCATCTTGTTTCTTCTTCTGTGGTTAACGCTAGCAGTGTGAAGATCCCCAGGACTCTGCTCCCCTCAATAACTGTGGTCTTTGTCAATTCTTCTTTCAAGAAGCGAAACAAACGTGATAATGCTCTGTGGGTGCAAGCTTTTGCAATAACACTCTAATGAGACCCGTTTATCTGCTTAGACTGTGCATCCAGAAAGAAATATCAGAGAGTTGCATTCTCAGTTTGTTTCTCTCCAATTTCAGCCTACATCTGTGCTGGTCTTGTCGTCAGATTCGAAAGCACCTACTTTAGATAGATAGATACTTTATTGATCCCGTGAGGGAAATTGCAGTGCAACAGCAGCTTAACACACACAACACAGCCACAGTGTAAAGCATGATACAATAATAATAGTAATAGTACAAGACATGCAATACAATCAGTACAGTGAGGGGTGCACTAAAAGAGTTACTCACAGTCCGGACACACATTAGGTGCTAATTCAGTGCAGCAAGGAGCACTGTGCGATCATTTCTCTTCTTTGTGTTGAAGTCTGTGTCGGTTATCTGGGGGTGTTTCAGGCCTGTCACCAGCTTGACTGCTTTGCTCATTAGTCCACATATTAACACAGGTCATAGTCTTGAAAATACTGTATATAGGGTCTGACCAGCCACAGCCTGAACACAGAATGAGAGCCCTGGAAGATGTGATGCTGCATTTGGTTTTGGGCCTCATGAGCTCCTCTTGGATAGTGATAGTGAAGTTATGAGATCCTGGTTACCTGGGGGAAGTGAATATATACATGAGTGGGATTGGGGGACTGTCTGGCTATTACTAGAGACTAGGTATGACAGAGCATATACCATTCATGAAGTTAATCAATTTATTCAGTGCAAGAGGCCACTGTGCAATGGCCACTTCAAGAAACTGTAATTTGATGTCACATTTTTAGGAACCTGTACCCCAAAAAACTGGAATATCAAATGTGGAGTTAGTCTGAAACTACAGGACCTATTGGGGAAATGCCTAGATGATTAGGTTATTAAAATAAGCATTATTGTATGTATATCAATTGTATTACAAGCTAAATATTTTAAGCATGTTTCGATTATTTTAGATGTTTGTCTTATTTAAGATGTATGCAGGTTTCATATGTTAGCATGGCATTATACAATACCAAATACTGGTTAGTTGCATTTCACAATACCAGAAGGTCTGCTAAAGACTGATCCACAGTATTCAACAAATGTCTGTTTCTTATAGAGCTCACAACTCATGTATGAACATGTTTGTACAAAACAGCTCATTATAAAAGTTGCTCTGCTTCAATCCAACAGCAGGGTGTTTACTGGAAATTTTTACATTGTGCTTTTTACTTAGTTTTACTGTTAAGAGGAAGTGAATTCAGAATTGCTACCAGGCTAAAATGCAAAATCTTAATTGCCTTCCTTATTGTTGAACAAAAAGAAAAAAATATTATGTTAAAAAAAGCAATGTTTTACTTGAGTGAGGGGGACCACAATTAAACAAGGGTCTTGAAATAAAATCTCCTTTGGTTGAAAAGGAGGCAGGAATGTCGAAGTGAAGAGTACCGTGCCCCTTGTTATTGATTATATCTGTAGCTCTGAAAGAATAAAATGTATTACCATGGGAGTTCTTGATACCTTATTAACTCATTAGCATCCTTGTAGTTTGTTAATGAAATGGTATTAATGAATTGTTTAATTAATAAAAATGGCAATATGACATCAAAGCAGTGTGCACAAAAACCTGCATTCTATACATAATTCATCAAAAGCTTACAAGTATTCCCTCTCCCAAGAGAGGCCTATTACTCTAACTGAATTGGTGATTTCCAGGCCAATGGCTAGAGACCCCTGCTCTGAGTCACGAAAAACTAAAAAAAAAGACAAAATTCCCATTATTAGAGTCAGGTTCAATGACTTAAGGCAGTTGAGTATTTGAATCCAACGGCTATATTTATTGCCATCCAATGGAGAATCATTTACTATGGAGAAAGAAATGAACAGACAACATATCTTCTTTCACCTCTTTTTGGTATACAGCTTGGTCTTTGTTGCAAGAAGTCACCTCTTTGGCTTCTATTTTGGTGGTCATGAGATATATTATTTTTTGATTTGTGTCCTCTCCAGGTCTCCGAAGCAATACATTTTAGCCTCTGAATAGGAAATAGGTGTAGCTGTGACATACAGAGCCTCAGCCTCCTTTCCCACCAAATATGAAGTC